TGCCCCCCCGGGAACCTGGGCCCCCCCCCCCCCCACCCCCCAATTTATTTCCTTTACGATTTTAAGCAAAAAAGATTCAGATTGAAAATTGATGAGGCATATTCTTTGCAACCATTTCAGCAATATCGGGATATTTCGGGACATTTCAGGATAGAAGCAAAGTGATTGACTGTCTGTCAGGGTTATTCCGTCTGCAGCATGACAGGTGAAGCTCATGCTTGCTCGTGTATATTTAGCCCAAGTATCACGGAGCTGCGAAAACCGGGCCTTCTCCGACTACTCACGCGAGCTTTAATATTAGATAAGTTATTGATTAAACTTTCAACTCTTAGTTTCAATGCAAAACTGGATTTCCGATAATTAAAAAAAAAGAAAAAAGGTTCACGATGAGAGCCGCGTCACATGCAGTGTGGCAACAAAAAGAAACTAGGGATGGGCATTTTTCAAAAATATTGTATTCGAATATTTGGGCTCATAAAAACGAATATTCTTTTATTTAAATGACGTTTTATGAGAAATACATTATTTTTTAATAGTTAAGCTTTTGTCACCATTTACGAACAAGCTTATAGGCATTATACAAAACAGTGTTTTACAACAACCTTACGTTATGTCTCAAGGTTTTCTTTCAGTTGAGAACGTGTGTAAACAATATATGTATATAAAGAACAAAAGCATTCAAGTCCAAGCAGAGCAAACGGAAAAAAATAAAGCAGACCATGCCAATTACAGTACAGAACTTACATACACTCAAGTCGGCCTATGTTTATCCTGTTTATGTTGTTTCACATGTTGAGAAAAACAATAATATCCACATGTTCGGGTGAAAGCTGGCTCCTTGAATAAGAACGCGCGCTGACACAGACGTTCCAGAGACACAAAGATAACGGTGTCCTAGCAAAGTTTCTTACAGCACTGTGTGGTTTCTGTTCTTAAACTCTCCCTCAGGGAATCTTAAAGGGGTCATATGATGCCCATTTTCCACAAGTTGATATGATTCTTTAGTCTTAATGAAAAGTCTGTAACATAGTTTGGTTAAAATTTCTCAATGGTAGTGTAAAAAACACCTTTTTTTACCCTGTCAAAAACAGCTCTTTTCTGAGCATGCCGTTTTGTAGCATTTTCCTTTAAATGTTAATGAGCTCTGCTGCCCCCGCCCCTCTCTTTCGAGCTGCTCTCAGAGAGACTGTTTACTTTAGCCGCATTCATCTTGAAACTTGCTAGTTAGCACATTATTAGGAAAGGCGATTTGCAAAGATTCATTATAAAACGTTATACTCACTTCTTCTGTAGATGAGGCTGGATCATGAGTGATTCGCGTGAACATAGATGCATTTATGTAGATCAGGGGCGCATTCACTTCAGAAACAAATAATCCACTGCGAGTTCAGCGGCTCAGATGTCGGGAGTAAATGAGGACTGCTATGTTCATTATTACATCCAACAACAGAACAACTCAATCGCTTAGGAGTCATTCTTGTCTACAACTGCTCCAGTGGTGAAACAATGGCGGACTGATGATGGCTCACTCAGGGCGGGTCTGAGGTAAGACACCAGTCCAGTCTGTGCTGAAACACTACTGTCAATCAAACTATCGTGGGAGGGGCCTGTCTGTGTGACGTCACACAGACATGCATCTGAGATCGGCTCAATTTGAGAAAGGGGTAAAGATTTTAGTAGATAAAAAAAAACACTGGGTGCATTTTTATCATTATAGGGTGGTTATGTACACAAACTGCCAACACACATTTAAGTTCAAACAACTTGTAAAACTGCATGTAGCATCCTATGACCCCTTTAAAGGAAGCATATGTCTCAAGATCATTTGGCTATCAGATAAGCTCTCTCGGTTCACTCGGGGCATAGCTGGTTGCGCTTACCTGCAGTCGTGAATGCAGTGATGGACAGCTGTCTTTACTCAGTCCACTGGTGTTTGGATTTCATGTGATTTCTCATTGTGGTGGTGATATTATGATAATTCAGTTTCACTGATTGATTTGATCAAA